ATCAAATTGTTATTTGATTGTAATTTAAACCGATATTATTTATTCTAGAAAACTAATATAAATATAATATATATATATATAATATTTGCTTTTAAATAATAATATTTAATACTCACTTACATAAGAAAAAAATGTCACTATGGTTTGCAGGTTATGTAACCTGTCTTTATTCCGGATGTCACAAAATAAGTTCTAACTTCCGCTTAAGTAACAGACTTCTCCACAGCAGATATTATTTAAATTACAATAAAATATTATTTCTACACACTGTGTCTAATTAACTTGACAGTATTATTGTATTCACTCGAACTAATCGTCTTTTTTTTGCGGTTCGTTTTATTAACGGTTTTTCTTAAATATTTTTAGTGTATTTTTGAACGTTGGCATAGGAGCATTGTATATACTGAGCGTAATTAAATTTATAATTTTGTGAAGTTTTATTTAATTTTCTTTTTTTTTTTTATATATAATTGGTTCAATTTACAAATTTGAATTTCATTTTTAACAACATAAGAACAACATAATATTCAACAACATATCTATAATATTTAGAATAACGTAATATTTGTTATAGATATAAAAATATATTATTTCTTATATAATTGTATAAACAATTATTATTTTCTTTTATCAAATATGTATTTCGCTATTTAAACAAACAAAAAATACAAATACAAATTTCAATTATATTATTTTTATCGTCATTATACTTTGGTATTTATTATTGTTTGTAGGTAAGATTTCGCTATCTTCCGGAATTTTATTATCGGAAAAAATGTCTGCCGTAATAAATGTAGACTCCTAATATTATGATAAATAACATATTAAAATTTCAGATTTGTTAAAATACATTTGAAATTATATTTCATTTGGTATTGTCAAAAGTATAATAGCCTCAAAATCGTCATAATTGTCTGTTATTATTTTTTTTAAATAATAATAATAGTAGATAATAAAATATCCAAATAGCAGACTTGCTGACATGCTTTTGTAATTGGCTAAATTTTTTGACCTGTGCTACCTGAATGACGCCATAAAAATCATCGTCGAACTTACAATTAGTTAGTCTCCCTTTAACCTATAGTGGGTATGAAAAATTGACTGAACGAAATTTGAAATTTGGTATATTACATGCAGCCTGCTGGCCAATAACTCTTATGTTACTTTGACTGTCAATTATCCAATTTCACATGCATACATAACACACAACTTGTGTTTGTATGACACTAGAAACTTTTACATTATTCCTTCAACTGTTTTATCTCGCATACTTTACTCACGCACACACAGCATGCACATGTATATACACACATATATAGCATTGTTATATATTTATTTTATATGATAAATTTATAAAACGTTACATAAACGGTGTAAATACATTGCAGAAGAATTGAAAAATTATTTTTGGATTTATCTTTTTGTTCTATTCTATACTTTTTTTTAGATAGAAACTTGCGATTAAGATTTTAGGATGAAATAGTTGTTTGGGATCGTCATCATAATATGTTGCTGATAGATGTTAAAATGTTTCTTTATCACAAAATAATGTAACATCGACACGGTAGGACAAAAATTCTTTTTGTTACTTTTTCCTCGGTTTTTCTAAAGACCATTTCTTAGCATTTAATGTCGAAAACCATCACACTTTTGATAAAATTATAATTAGTAGTATTTAATTTTGTACATCTTTTGTTGCTACCTTTTTTTAACCCCGTTACGGATGTGGATGACTCAAAATTAGAAATTAGATTTATTGACGCTTTACTAGCTACACGTTTGACTTACTATGTAATTGATCTGTCTCACGTTTGCCGTGTATCATGGGGTTATCCTTTCGTTCTTAGGTCCAATATTAGTTAGTTTGTTAAAAATGATTAAAAATGTAATACTTATACTCCATACAACGTTCACATAAAACTATGATTAAAGGATGATTGTTATTAGGTGTAAATATTGTTAGCAGATTAGAAATTTGTGTTCATGTTTTTCATCATATTTTATATTAATGTTATACTTATGATTTTTATTAAATATTTAAATATAATTAACACATTACTTTAATCTTTCTTTATATTGTAATATGCTGCATTCTGAATTTTCTACATATTATTTTTACTTTGACTTTAATAAGCTTTTCCACAATCCTTAGGAAATTCGTTAAATTGGTCCGATATTCTTTGTATGGGTACGATATTTTTCTCAGCACTAAAAGGGTTAACGTTTCGAAGAATGGAAGGGGAATGGAGATCTTTCTCTGTAGTCCAGTCAACTAAAGGAGAACTTGGTAAATTTAGCTAGCTGGGGAAAACTTGATATAATGAYAATTCGACGACGCTGAATCGAATGGTGCTATTTTTTTTGCAATCAGATTTTTTGGTAGTGAGAAAAAGGGTAAAAAAGGGTAAAAAAGCCATATCTTAGAATCTAGGCATTTAATCGAAAAAAGTTTCAAACAAAAGTTGTGTAGAATTAAAAAATACATAAAAAGTGTTTTAAGGTGTATCTTCGTATGTG